CGGGGCGGGGGCGGGGCCGCTCCGGGTCTGGGCGCGGCGCCGAGCGGTGCGTTGGGATGGAGGTTGGCAGAGACGACGGCCGTGTGTGGAGGGTGAGCAAGCGGCGCCCGAAGAGGGCGCCCGGGGAGAGATCATTGTCTCTCCCTCCTAGCGTTCCTTGTAGACAGTGCTGGTGTTCGCAGCCCTCGGTTCTTGCCGGTGGCTGTCCCCGCCGCACTTTGTGGGGAGCCATCCTCCCAGCCCTCCGCGCGTTATTAGCGAGGTCCGCCGGCCCCAAGGAGGCTTCTGTTGAGGTAGCCGAGGGGCTCTAGGCCCCGCGTAACCCCCGCGGGCACGCTTTGCCCACGTGCTCCACGAAACGCCCACCCCGCAGGCCCGGGCTGTGGCTCCTTCCTGGTAACTCGGAGAGAACCCTGCTCGCTTTTCTAGCATTACCCAGACTCGGAAGGCAAGCTTTGCCCTCTGTTTGACTTGGAGGTGGTATATTTGCTGTAATTCCCTCTCTCTCAAGGAGGAGGATACCTGTCCGGATAGGGAGAATTAAAACTCTTGTCCCTAGCATGTCCAGCATGCTTGCAGATCTGAATTAGTAGCTACTAAAAAAAAGAAGAAAAACTAGATTTTACATTTTTAAAATGCAGGTTTCCAACTTTTTTAGAAAATTTGCTTATTAGTTCAGAGTCCCACAAAAAGCTAGATACTGAGGCCTGGTCAGTGTTAAAGGAACTGAAAAGAAGTAGTTAAACACGAGAGCTGCCCACATTACTGAGTGGGTAGTAGCACTCCTCCACCTGAAGGGAGGGCTGCTGTTAGCAAAGCCCAGCTCCAACTCTGGAAGAGACGCCCCTGGAGGAATGGCCATAAAGTGCTAGGCAGCCACGTGAGGAACTTGAGCAAGGCAGAGGGACAGGGCCCTAACCCTTCCCCGGCTGCGCCCCGGGTTCCAGCTGGCACCTTCCTCGGACAAAGCCCAAACGGCAGCCAGAGGGTAAAGGAGTCCGGGTGAGTAGTCTGTAGAAGTCAGCTTCCCAGAACAGGACGAAGAGGGGAATGGCAGAGGACAGAACAGCAAACAGGATAAAGAGCACACACGTTATCTAAGCAAAGAAATGTTGCCACTGTGGATGCTTTCCAAGAAGTTTTCTCCCTGTTCAAATTCAAAATTACTGTAAGGCTCGGTCTCCTTAGCTGTGTAATGGGAGTGGTGCTGCCTTTGTCCCAGGTGAGTGTGAGGACTCTGACATGGCACGTGAAAGTGCCTACCATGGGGCCTGATACACCCTGGAGGCCCGGTGTGTATTAGTTCTTTCTTACATGCAAAATGATTCTTTGACCAAAAAACCTTTTCCAGTCAGAGTCTCAAAGTGTGGCTGATGAAGGGAAATGTAGAGGCTCAAACAGGCCTGGCAGCCGCTGTGATGAATAGTTTTTAATGGGAGTGAGGCAAGAAGTCATTGGAGAGTCCTGCAGTGTAACTTCTAACACGCACTAAGGAATCACCTGTTCGTTCAGAAGTATTTATTTGAAATATACTATGTGCTGGGCATTGTTTTAGACACTGTACACATGTTGATATGGTATTTTTCTAACCTCTAGGTCAGTGTGGCCTGATGAAGGAAAAACACATTTTTAATTAAGATGTGAATGTCAAAATACAGAGCCTGGGGCAAGGACACCTGACCCATCTTGGGGACATTAGAGGTTTCCTAAGGCAGATCTTTGATGTGAACTCGATCTTAACAAACGTTAGCCAGGTCTAAAGGAAAGAAACGGAGTTCTGGGCATTTGAAGTAGCATGTGCATTTGGAATAAAAGGGAAGGAAGTGGGTGGTGTGCTGGGAATTGCAGGTAGTTTGTATCACTGGAGAGTTGGCTTGGGAAAATGCTGAGAAATAAAACTAGAAAAGTAAACAGGTGCCAGGTCATGATGGGGGATTTAGATTTTATCCTGAAGACAAGGATAGGTTTTTAAGCAAAAAAAGTAACCAAAGAGCATTTTGAAGGCTGGGTGTATAGTTCCACAATGGAACATTTGCCTAGCCTGTATGAGGTCTTGAGTTGGATCCCCAGCATTGCCCACCCCCCACCTCCCCCAGAAAGCATTTCTGAAAGATCACTCTGGGTGGATAACGACTGTCATGTGGAGTTGGTGGTGCAGAGTGGGTACGTGCCAGACCGGGAGCTGGGAGTCTCACTACGTGTGGCCACTGTCAAAGCCATGGGAATACAGGGAGGTGGGCGACTGTTTCACTTTCACTGTTCCTTAATGAGGGTGAATGTACAGAACTTCATGGTTAATTACAAGATGGGGAGAATAAAAGAGCATTGTCCAAGGTGAATCTCAGGTTTCTGGCTTAGGCAAGTAGGGATGGTAACGCTGGTAACTGATGTCCGAAGACAGGAAATTCAAGAAATCACAGATTTGGGGTATGTGAGAAGTGGGGAATAGAGATGATGATAGTTTTGAACATGTACATTTCTTTATTGTGGTAAACGCATATTACATACAATCTTCCTTTGTTTTTTTTCCGTGCAGTGAGTACTGGGGATTGACAGGACCTTCCCACTGAGCTGTATCCCTAGCCTTTTAAAATTAATTGTTTTTAGCATTGGGGATTTAACCCAAGGCCTTTTGCACTGAACTACATCTCCAGCCCTTTTTTATTTATATTTTAACATAAGGTTTCATAAATTCTGAAATTGCTTATGCTGGGCTTGAACTTGCTATCCTCCTGCTTCAGCCTCTCAGATTGCTGGGATTACAGGTGTGTAGCACCACCCTCAGCTAAATTTTCTGTTTTAACCATTTGAAAGTGTACAATTCAACAACAAAAAGTACATTCACAGTGTTGCACAACCATCACTGTTATGTAGTTTTAGAACTTTTCATTACCCCAAAAGGAAACCCCATACCCAGTGTGGTCTCTCTCTAATAGTTTAAGCAGTTAGGAAACCTCAGGGAAAGTAAGTAGTGAGAAAAGAAGCAGGAGGGTGAAGTCCTGGTTAACAGTTAGGGTTTGTGGTAGTCCAGAGGGCATTTCCTTGAACATAAGCAAAATCATGTCTTCCTTAGGTAGAAAATTAGGCTGTGCCTCACTGCTGCCTCTGCTAGATGTTCAGGCATGTATTTCACAAAATCAGTCATTAGTGTCCTCAGACTGGCTTAGGTCACAACCCTTTTAACTGCTTCCAGGTGTAGTTTTACTTGTGCTGTTTGGTTGATGGATAGCACATCATTCGTGAAATTAATAAGTAGATTGTCACAATTTGCAGTATGAATGCGTGTGTGTGTGTGTGTGTGTGTTCCTTGTGATACCTTGTGCTGAACCTGTGGTTTTGCAAATTATAGGCTCAACAGCGTGAGCTGTTGTGGAAAATGCAAATTCTTGGGTCCCGCCACAAACCTGATAAATCTGAAACTCACCGGTGGGGCCGGCCTCTCAGGTGATTCCCATGAGTTCTGACGTTTGTTTTTTGTTTTTCTTGTTTTTCTCCGGTACCGGGAACTGAACTCACAACCTTGCGCTTGCCAGGCAGG